TCCTAACTCACCGAGACGCCGCAGCATGATACCGTGGTCTACAGTATCAAAAGCCGCTGAGAGGTCCAAAAGAACAAGGACAGAGGAATAACCTCTGTCCCGGGCCCTCCAGAGATCATTAACCAACGCGACCAATGCCGTTTCCGTGCTGTGTCCCGGCCTGAAGCCCGACTGGTATGGGTCTAGATAGACTGCTTCAGTTAAGGGTACAAGCTGTTACGACGACAGATATATTACAGGAAGTCCAGTTATTTTCCAGTGGTATTCATTCTGAGATTTAAGCAAAAGCAGCTGTCTGAACAGATGTAAAACAGGCAAAAATGACCCTTAGTAGAATGAGAAGTTGATCCTCTTCTGTTTAATGGCAAGGTGTTTTACTTTGCTGTGTCAACAGCATCTATTGCTCCTTGAGATGCCTCTTCTGTGTTAGCTCACTTGTTTGAACAAATAGTTATTACCTTTGGTCTTAGAGCAAAAAGCAACATAGAGGATTTGTTTGTTTTGTTTTGCAAAGTTGCTTCAACCTTCCACATGGAGAATGTATGACAGGAAACAGCTTAGGTGAATTATTTGATGTAATTGGCTGAGTTATTATACATTTATCCCACTTTCTAGCCACTGAGTCTCATCATATAAATTAAATATTAGTGCACTGCACTAATGGGGAACAGGTGCCATGCACAAATGGAAGACCCAGAATCTTCTGTGGTGGTTTACCAAGTAAGAACTTTGGTAAGAGAATACAAAAGGGAAGTGAGGCAGGAAAAAGAGGGTGAAGAAACAAGTTGCAATAAATATTTGCAGCCTATTAAAATCATTTGATATATGGTTGCTGCAATAGCTGGCTGGTGTTAGCCAAATAGGTCTTCCTGTTGCAGTCACAGATCCACTGACAAATGGAAGAGAGTTATTTAGAAAAAGGAGAAAAGCAAAGTCCCTCCAGTGCTTATTCTCTGCAGCTAGGCTCTTTAGCTGTGGAGCTGGGGTGCACATCTGGATTGGATCTCCAGCTGTGCATTAGTTGGCTGCCAATGGCTTCTTTGTGAAAATGTACCTATTAGAGTGGGCAGTCGTTATCATTTTGCTTTATGCTGGTCTGTGACCATAATAAAAATTTGATATAATTTTGCTTATTTCCTTTTTTCAATTTTAGGAGTAGAAGGCAAGGCTGGAATGGCAGCTATTGCTGACCCAAAAGCAAAACTGAATCCTAACATTCTGTATTTGGAGATACAGAAAGCATTACCTCCATATGCACGGCCTATCTTCCTCCGATTTCTGCCACAGGTTGACACCACAGGTAATACAGACTGAAAAAGGTGCCTAAGTTTAAATTAAAGGACCAAGGTGGGATATATAATAGATACTAAAAAGGTTTAATAGAGTATTTATTTTTATTAAATCTATTTGCTGTCCATGTCGCCACAAGGTGATCCTGGGTGGTTTACAATATTAAAAGTGATAAAATCATAATAAGAATACAAAATTATAATTAAAAGATGGGAGGGGAGGGAGCAAGATGAGGGGAGGGAGAGGGGGGATCTATTATTATTCTATTATTACCACCGTAGCTATCTTTTAGCATGCGTTTTATGGCCAACCTTTCTCTTTTACTTCTAAACATTGTTAATTGTTTTGCTCTGTACCTGTCTTTGAAATAAACCTTGAAGGAAGTCAGAAACGTGTGTTCCAAAGTAGATAACTTCCTACTTTACTAGATAGTCTGGTGATATCAGAGATGGAGTATTTTCCTTGATTGGACAAAGCACTAGACTCCACAAAGAGGTTGTCTTTCAATTATCTTCCATATTCTTTTAAACTGAAGGTGGTACTCTAGACATATGAGAGGGAAAAAAGGAGGGTCTGCCTAACAATATTCAGATAGAACGTCCAGATTATCTGATCTGCAGTGAACATGAAACGTGCCCTGATATTCAAGAGCAGGTTTAGCTAATCTTTGTGTGTGTGAATGTCACGTTCCTGTATTCCCTCCATTTCTTAATAAACTCAGACATTTGGTTTAATTGTTTTTTTAAAAGGAATTGTAAGGGCTTGTCCACATGAAAGATCATGCAATTACCATAGTCACATTTTGTGAACTGGCATTAGGTTTGTTGTTCTGGGCTTTGGACGAGAAGATTCAAAGCACTTTTGATTTTTTGAGAGCTGGGATGAAGGGAGGAGGGCAAAAAACTCCTCAGCTAGACAAACAAGGGTATGAGCTCACTGTCTGATGGCAGCATTTCATAATTCTTTGACTGGGAATCTCTTGGAAGAGGAGGTCCACCAGTGAGATTTAAGTTATCCTCCAGTTTCTGGCAAATAACTTTGTGCAGTCTAAACAAGCATTCCCTTTCTTTCTTTGCTAAAGTAACTGATCTAAAGTAACTGTACAAACAGACATTATTTTATTTTGGAGATAAACATTAAAAACATGAAACGTTTGTATGTATGAGATGGGAGTTCTCCAACCAAATACACCCCAGCTTCTTTGTAAGAATGGCTATGGGCCTATAGTCCAAACCAGTCCTTTTCAGTTGTACTGTAGTGGCCAAATGACTAAGATACCGCATTTTGCATTGCAGATGTTCATTTCCTTTTCCCAACCCTTCTTTTTTAATTCCTCTTCTTAGCAGGAGAAAAACCTTTGTCAGGAGGTAGTCATTCTTACCTCACAGAAGTAATCTTCCTCTGAATTTTGCTCAGTTTTGAGTTGTGACTGGAATTCACAGCGATATGTTTTGATAATGAACCCTGGTGGCTCAGCAGTTAGAATGCAGTATTGCAAGCTGACTCTGCCCAGAGCCTGGCGTTTGATTCTGACGAGGCTCAAGGTTGACTCAGCCTTCCAAATTTGGCAAAATGAGGGCCCAGATTGTTGGGGGCAATATGCAGACATTGTAAACAGCTCAGATAGTGCTGTAAAGCATTATGGGTGGTACATAAGTCTTAAGTGCTATTCCTATAGCCTTGTTTTTCAAATAAAACATCTTCAGTCTGATCCTTGTCTTTGTACTAAGTGCTACTCCTTGCTTCAGAATGGGACAAAACTCGCCACAGCCAAGTCTTTACGGCCACCTTGCTGCGGGACAATTCACTAAGTACAAAAGTTAAATTAATTTCAGTGGAACCGTGGCCAATAATAATCATAATAAAAAGAAAGTCAATCCAGAAATGCAAAAGTTACAATAATTTCAATGAAAGCGTGGACACCTGTAAAAGCAACTGAATGAAACAATTAATTTAGCATTGAATTGTCCCTCAGCAAGTTGGCTGTGGCGAGTTGTCCTAGAGCCAGACCTCCCTTGCCTTGCCTCTTTTTGCATGTCATTGTCAACAATCTGTTTCTGCCTTCTTTCTTTTTCCACTAGGCACTTTCAAGATTCAGAAGACCCGTTTACAAAGGGAAGGCTACAATCCACACCAGATGTCGGATCGGTTATACTTTTTGGATGTGAAACTTGGCAAGTACCTACCAATAGATGAGTGCATTTTTGAGAGGATCCAAACTGGAAAAATGTCTCTTTGATTTAATTGGTGAGAAGACGCATAAAGATCCTGATGTCGAAAGGTCTTGTTTTGGTAGAGAAATAGACTTGAATAAATAAGCAAAACAAGATTTTAATATGCAACAGGGAAAAACCCCACTATGATGTGAGAGCAAGATGGTTTTCCTTCCTTCCTTTTTTTTTTTTTTTAAAAAAAGCACATTAACCATTTCCAGAACTCTTTTTGTATTGTTCAATTTTTAGAAAGGCCTTTTTCTTCCTTAATAACTATTGTGATAGGGAATTCCATATGAAAATGAGAATGATTTCTGATCTGCATTATTAAATGTCCTCAATATGCCAGGGATGACTAAACCTGTTGTAGCAAAACTGATCAAATTATTTTCTT